TATAAAGCAAGAAAGATTGAATAATGGAATAATTATTATCACTGCACAATGGATTAATGTTTAATAAAAAGCAAATTTTAAATCCATTTCCCATTTATCTTTTCAATTTTCAGCGTTTCAAAAGTAGGCTTCCCTTTGTTTTATAAATTTTGTTCTTTCTGCAACTTCGCTTAAGAAATGAATATCAATTTTATCCGATAATTTACAACATCTGTTAACGACGGTACATTTCGTAAAAATTGATCACGTAGGAGTAAAAATTAATTGGTTAATATGTCGTTTGAAAAATGACTACAAATTATTTTTTACATCTTTTACGTGCCATGACTTTGAACCTATCAACGATTCCAAGTGCAAGCTATGTAGATAACGTTTCTGGCATTGGCAATTTGTCGATTACTGTTTACTTAAGGGAGTAATTTATTTAAAATTTTCAGGACGAAGTGCATCGCAATGAAATATCGCGGTAGATAACCTTTCGCCATCTTTTAAGGGTAGCAAACGTGACACTTGAATATATCTAGGTCGATGTAAAGTGTAGGGGGTGTCACATAAAATGACAGGAAGCGACGGTAAAACTTCTCATACATGATACATTCTAATAAATACCAACCTAAAATATTCACCTGTGCGTTTCGCGAAAATATGGGATGCATAAAAAATTTCGAGGACTATGTGATGCGAAATAAGCGTGCAATATCTTTGCGCTATTTCATTTTCATCCAATATTTCGAAACGATTCTAATGAAAACTTTTTACGTCGTACCATTCGATATTTTTAAAATAACAATTTGTTCCCGACACAGTGTGCTTTATATTAATTTCAGCGTTGCAATTGATATGTCACCGTCAAATATTTATAAAGAAATATAATTCGATGATGTAAAATAACAGTAAAACGAAATTTAATTTACTCGCGAACCTTTCTAAGAGTCACGGATGTATCGGTTGGAAAAGGAAGTCATTTTACATCTTTCCTACGTATCTGTTTCTGTTAGTATTAAATTCATGCGTCTTTTGCTACGCTATTTTGCAATGTCCTCACATAAAATACCAGCTTCCATCATATAGCCGCGTTTCTCCTATATTTTAATCCTCTTCAGAGCCTCCCTTTCCACTGTACATCCCAGAAACTATCAGAAATGAACCAACAGGAATCACCCGAAGTACACGGTTGGAAACTATCAGACACGCCGCTGCGAAATTCATTTTTAATAAGATCCCGGTCAAAAGCGAGGCATCCGATCCCTCTTCATCGTAGAAACCGATATTGCACCGTCTTCCTTTTGATAGCTAATTTCTCAGAGCGCTCAAAGTGCCTCGGACTGTTCGTAGATTCGCCCACCACCCCAGATAATTATATCTCCCTACAATCCCGTTGTATAGTATGGTCTCGTACTACGAAATATGCAAGATTCCGCCAACCCAAAGCGTACCTTTTGTTCATTCGGGCTTCGGATAAAATAGATCAGGCGCTGCTTAGCGGATATTAACGTCCTCCTTTGCAGATAACTAACAAAGTAATCTCTCTCGCGTTTAGAAGCGCGACTATTCAGCAGATTCGAGAAAATAATTCACAAATGATTTTCATTTACCTCGGGACGGAATTCGAACAGAGATTAATTGACTATCCATTACGATTTAATTTCAAATTCAATTTAAGTCTCATTCTCGGAATTTCATTCTGGAGTCAAAGGACGGTACAGTGTTTCGTTTAACCCTTTTATTCGAACATCGACTATAGGACAGTTCCAATTCCTTTTAGAAAATTCCCCGTCGTTATCGAAACTATGTAATGGAGAAATATCGAAAATCGCTACTCTGACGCAATTACTCGGCATACTAATGACGGACGGATGATCAGTCTGCTAAGCACGACGGACGAGTGGACGTTACATACTTTGCAAATAGATACGTATACGAAAATATTAAAAGAATATCAAAATATCAATGGGTTCTACAGCGAAACGCGTCGTTTCATTGGCAGACGGTTGCTTTGAGCGTGATATTAATGACAGTCGCAGAAGAGATCAATGCGTGAGATGGTACACTAGGAATTAAAATTCACCGCTAACAAGTCCCCTTGGAAAACATTTTTATGATCGTGAAAACTAAGTAGAATACCACGTAATAACATAGGAAATCAAAAGATCCCATCGCAAAAGGCGTTTGACTGGCAGAAGGATAGGTGTGCAGGAATGGCGGGCGCAGGAGCGGCCGGTCGCCGGAAAGAGGCACACGGTTTTATTCGGCTGTTTCTCACCGCTGAACTTTCTCTATGTACACGGAAACGTGTGCAGCGGCGAGAATTATATAGGAAGGCGTACGGCCGGGTAGAGGAGAGGTCTGCTTCGGTCTCCCTGTGGTGAGTTGCACTTGTAAATGCACGTCTCCCACGGTATCCTGGCCGCCGTCTACCTACAACCCTTACCTATAACCCGGCTGAACGTATATGTACAGCGGGTATATGGCCGCCGGAAGGTAGGCGGCTGCGAGCTACAGTGGGAACACAGTTCTTGCATTAGCCAAAGAAAGATTTCTGGCGAATCGAGCGAGAGAGCCAGTGCTAACCGAGGGACGGTGGAACGAAGAAAGAACCGTATAGACAGGACTGCTTCTTACCGCCTGCCTGCCGTACTATCGTGGTCCGCCGTTGATTTTTCCCGCCTGTATCCTGTTCCTGGATACTTTCAGGGCCCGCAGGGGGAAAAGAAATGGGGCTCGTTTCAAGCGACGATTATCAACGCCGCTCGTCCCGTGTCCGCGCGATCTGAATACCGACGGCGAACTTATGAACTTTCTGTCTGTGATTAATGCGCGAGTTTCTTTCGGGCACGTCGCTTTTCAGGGCTTGAAAGAAACGCTACACAGGCCCACCATCGGCTGCATTCGACCTCCCTTTCGAATGGGTGTTTTATCGACTCTTATTTCGCCAGCGAGTTAACCTTTGATGTGTACGGAAGTTTGGATTTAAGTAGTCGGCAGGGGTGGGGTGCGGAAATTGTGTTCAATGAGGTTGGATTGTCGTCACTGGGATTTTGTTTGAAAGTCCCCCTCTTTGCTTTAAACGAAGATACGGGTGTTATTCGGTTTCTTCTTTGCAGATCGATCTTTCAACTTTGGGAGACACTGAGATTGTGTCAGAATGTAGTTTGAAATGCAATTTTGCTCTGGACGCATCGGGTCGTAAATAAAATATTATATATAAGCAGAGGAAATCGAGTCCAATTTCATCTGCTTTGATAATACGTATACACACACAGGTGCAGCAATCTCCAGCGCCCAAGATAGCACCTAGTCCATACCTGGCGATCCTTATTTCTGTTTCAACGTATGTTTGTCTTATTGACCGCTGTATTCGTAGCAGCTTGTTCGAGTTGGACTAGCTAAACGTGCATCACGTCCTATATCCGGCTCTGCTTTAAACTAACCCCGGTCCCAGTAAACCGCGAAATTTCCGACTTTATCTCGCTATCTGCGCGGATGATACACGACAAGGAAAAAGGAAAAAGTCGGACAAACGTGCGCGTTCCAATAATGCCGCAGTTTACGAATCCGTCGAAAACCATAGAAATTCCTAATGGTATAGGAAGAAAAGCCAATTCCAAGGGGAGTTTCTCGAGTATACTAAATGCTCTCGAGCGAACACACACCTGTCTCTAGTCAGATTCGTAAAGGAAGTTCGAAACTAATGGCTGGAAGTCGATGATACTTCGCTTTTAAGGATCTATTCGATTCGTTCCTGACTACAGGGAACCTTCCATTGCACGAAGTCAAGTTCGAGGGTATAGGACCTTTCTCGCAAATGATCGTGCGAGCGGTCAATCTCGAAATTTCTAAACCCACCGAATATTATTTTCATTGTAAAACACATCTACATATGGTATAACATTTTTCCTGTTTAATATTTGCCATATGCTTCGCGGTATATTTTATTGTATACCCAGAAAAATGACATCACGATGCTACCGAAATATTTGTAAAAGGTATATACACAAATATGCACAAATATTGGGTAATATTTGCAAAGCCATATGCAAATATATCGAAGAGAGAAAGTTCTATAGGTATCGACGTGCAGTGATTAGTGGGAAGAATGAATTTCAAATTATCGAAATGAGAGAATTAACGAATTCTTTGCTCTAACTGCTGTTAAATCAGGTTTATGATCATGGGTGTGGTTATTAAGTACTGAAATTTGATTTTCCCCGACTCTCTTTATTCCTGTTCCGCGCAAAATCGTGGTAATAGAGGAAAAAATGATGATATTATCGAGTAAGTGGTTAATTGATGTATTCCCAATGAATGCGATGGTAATAAGCCGACTCGCAGTTCGTTTATCAGTTTTGAATCGCGGTTATCCAATAACGATGCCTCATTAATTCCTTCTTATAAATGAAAGAACTAAGATGAAAAGTATACAAAATTTTCATAGTCCGCCGAAGCCAGTGATAATTGAATACCCTATTCCAGAATTTCCTCGACCAATATTAATCTTAAATTGCTATCAAGACTTCTTAACTAGGAGTCCTATTGTTATACGACAACAATGACTCAAATATTTCTCCATGTTCCTCAATTACGTTAGACATAATTTCAGAGGACTCTATATAATGTTTCTAAGGTTTCGCGATTTTCTGACACGATCACAAAGCCTAGGTTTATCGATGAGCTTACTTATTAATCTGCTCAAAGGATCCACGAGCAAGATTCTCGACGCGTTCGGTAATCGAGGTAATCAAGAATTAGCGTTGAACTTGAAAAAGTAACGAGCCTCAAAGAACAGTGAATCTGCCCGTCCTCTAAAAGCCAGGGAACTAAACACTGCCGTTTAAACGTTGCTCGTTCGGGCCAATAATTAATTGGCGTTGCGCGCGGTGGAGATTGCCAAACGTTTGCGAAAAGGGGGATAATTAATGTTTAAATTCGGCATGGCTACGCGCGTGTATAAGCGGGCCAGAACGAGTTATTAATGTTTCGGCAAGAGAGAAATTACTTACCGAGTATCTGGCTAAGAACGGTGCGGCCATCTTCGCCGAGGCAGGCGCTCCGGGCATCAAAGGGATTTGTGAATTGCACGAATGCATAGCCTTTGTGCATAGATATTCCTGAAACAACAAACGATCATGACGTTCCAATACCTAGGCCCCGCCTCTTTCTTCCGGCCACGCGAATGGAATGAAACAGAAATACCAAGATAATGGCAGGAAATCTTTAATTAAAATTGTTTCCACGAATTTTGATGAGGCGTACAGCCTGGCCAGGGCCAGCTCGTCATCGTTCCAGATACTTGATGAACGAAGCTGGATCACGATTATTGGAAGAGAGAGAAAGAGAGAGAGAGAGAGAGAGAGAAAGAGAGAGAGAGAGAGAGAGTTTCCTGTTCCTTCGACCTTTCTTTTTGCCAAAGAAAAGCCTCTACTTTTTCTTTCTTCCTCGCTGGGTTCATGACGTGTGATGATGAATATCGTAATTGAGCAACGAGTTCATTTAGGGTTTAACACGAGCAGTTATCTGCAGCACTCGTGACTTAGATTAAAAAATAAATCTCTTCTTTTTAAAGGTGTTCTAAATATATTTTATAGAAAGTTTGGAATAATAATTTCCGAATAAGGGTAGAAATGCTGGGTTATAGCTCGTGAAATATTCGGACATTAAATCTATCTTTTCATGCACGATTAAAGATGAATTTGAATATACTTAATGCAGGAGGTCCATTTCGTCAGGGATTTTCTTAAATGAATTGTGCAGACAAATAATTGTTCAGTGGCATTTATTTTTCATGCACGCGCTCCACGGAACAGAGTTTATCAGAATCCATAGGGAACGAATTTCTTCACCCTTTTTCCTACTTCATCGACGATGAATTTTAATAAGATTTTACAGTCCGATCGCTTAATCCCTCGTGGCACGTTGAACCTTATTTCACAATTACGATAAAACACCTTCCTCAGCTATTTCCCGTATGTCCAATTTAGATACCGATATTGTTTAGAAATTATTTTCGAATGTCACGATGATTCGATGAATCTGATAAAAAAAAAAAAAGAATACCACTCGAAGAATTTCATTTTACAGATTTGTATTCAATACAGAACAATACAAGCTTTGCGTTATTCGAAATCAAAAGTACAAAAGGATAAAAATAAAGAACCGATTCATTTTTTAATATAGCAAAAAATAATATGCATGTTATTTTATTTGAAAACAACAGAAACGTAAAATTTACGCATTACAGAAATAGCACGTTATTCGGCAACCGACTGTATTCCGTTTTCCCAGGAAAAACTCTGCATTATAACATAAACCCTGTACAAAAATCTAATATGCTCCCCCACATCGCATATGCTGCAGTAAAATTCGCAGAAAACAACGAAATTAGCAATCAGCGTAATAAAATGCAAAATTACCCGAACCTAATGCCGATCCAAGTTCATCGACAACGAGTTCGATCAATATCGAGTCTAAATTGACAATTTCAAGCGGAAAGAAAATTCGCTAATTTATTTCCCGCCCCGTTGATATTCCATTACCCTAATCGGCGTTAATGGTCGATCTTTCGTTAAAGGACCGATAATATCGGAGTCTGCGTTATCACAGAGCAGCGTCTGACTAATCTGACTATCCGAAGCTACCTTCTGGCCGAATAATCCGAGTGGTGGCAAAGGACGGGTGAGGAAAAGAAACATTATAAAACAATATCTCGTGCAAGGGGAGAACAGCGGAAAGTTACGGAGATTTTCGGTCCTTAACATTATTAACATGTCCTAGGCAACTGGCGTGGCCAGATAAGTTTTTTTTAACCGTCACTGTCCGTTTCAGGGGTGGACACACGTACCGTACGAAATATATCTGCATCCAGACCGTGTACACCCGCGGCCATATATGTATAACCGTGGCAGGAATATATGGAGATTTACATATTTGTTTCAGCATAATGAATTCCATGCATGGTCAGCTGCTAACCACGCAAAAGTTATTACGGGTACACAGATTACAGGCGGCTCCTGCGTTAAAATGAACGTATCTGCCGACTTGCCACGCAGACTGCCCACGGAATCGATGACCCCGCTGTGCCATGTGGTAGCCGATGTAAAATTAAAAAACAAAAAAGAGAAGGGAAAAAGGGGGGAAACGAGAGGAAAAAGAAACGGGGGAATATCGGCTGGAATTTCGAACGAAAAATATTTCCCTGGATCTAGAATTCCAGGACCTGTTGACGGCATTTCGATTTTTTCGGATGCTCGAAATGTATCTGCACGGTTCATTCTTTTTTTGTATTTTTTTTTTTTTTTTTTTTTTTATTGGAATTCTTGGGGAGCAAATGTTAGCGCAGTCATCCAGAGACAAGTGTTTGCACGGAGATTCGAATTTGTGGAGTACCTCTTGTTACCATAACGGATTTCGATGAATATTAATAAAGTATGTTTTATTCGAGCACAAAAAGAGAGACTTTTTTAAAAGTATCATAAATTCGTGAGTATGTTTTCCGAATATTTCAAGTACAATTTACAATTTTTCTTTTCTTTCTTTTCTTACCTAATGATGTATTAAATACGAAAAATATGCATTTCCTCGGTGTAAAGTTTGGGAATGAAAGAAACTTTTGCAAATTAAATTCTCCACCACGAGTTGTTGATTAGAATTCTAATAACTCTAAATAACACGGTTTTAATGTGATATTATTCTAGTCTAGTTCGCTACACTGTGCGGTATGTACTAGTATCTCCGGTATGTAAATGCAAAGCAAACATCCTGTACTCAGACCTTGGAGAGTGAGATACCTGTCACGCGTATGATTATAAACTGTTGTTAAATAATACGGAATGAAATTAACCTTCGAAGATCAAAAGATTCTCCACGAATTGTCCATCAGAACTTTGACAATTTCAGATGACAAGAAAAAATTGTTACTTTCTGTATCAAACAAAAGCATATAGACACAAAATTACACTCAAACCTTTAATCCCTTGTACTATCATTTAACCATAAAAATTGTACATAGAAAAAATATTTAATTTCGATTAACCACCATACATCTATCCGATTCGCGGCAAAATTTAGAATACAAAAATTCTACAATTTCTTTCTGACATCGATACGATATTTCTCAGGAAAAAAATCTCGTCGTCGTAGTTGCAAAGGGTTAACAAAAGACAAGCTATCTCACGAAAAGCAGGAACAATCGATCAAATCCTCTCGCATAACCCAGGCGAGAGCAACGAGAAGAGACATCTCTTCGGCGAGCCGCAAAAAGGAAGAGATTAAGTCTCCTTTGCATGGATCTCGTGAAAAAGGTAGACAACGAGCTCGGAAAGCGTGGCAGCCCACCCTCCTCGGCGTCTCGGCCAGCAACTTGTACAAAAGTTTCAACCTCCGCTCGCCACAACGACAATTCGCAATCTCCCGGGCGACTGTTTTGCGCTGTGCTCCTCTTCGTGTCCCGAGCAGAAGAGGTCTCGCATCCTTATTGCCGGAGGACGAGGGCTCGAGTCAACGGAGACGTGAAATTGGAAAAGGTTCGGCTTGTCAGATAGAGCTCGGCTCCCCATTGCGGAATGCCGGACCACGGTGACAGCTGCGCGGAGCAGATTGCACGAATCGAGTGGGCCGACGCCGATGCCGATGCCGGCGACAACCGCGACGCCCGGCGTCGTCCACGGCCACGACGAAGACTACGGCGGTCCGAAAATCGTATTAAATCGCGCCACGCGTATCACCGGCCAGGATGAAAGCATTTCGGATTGTAAAGCGCAATAATTCGTGACGTTTCGCGCGATACCGTTCAGGGTTGCGGCGTGGTAGCAACGAGGAAAATCCAGCAGGGGTCCCGAGTAACTCGATATTTCTTGTTGCGGACGTTTACGTTGTTTCTCTCGCGGAAATCTACATATCCCGTGTTTTTTGCCTAGCCTGCAGCTAACGAGGAGGGTGCGGGAAAGGGGTCGGGAATCGAATTAAAAGGAAAAATAGACCGACACCGAAGGGGTTGGGAAAAAGGGGGAAAGAGAGGAGAAGGAAATCGCACGACCCCCGACGAACGTTTCGCATCGGAACGATGGACCACGGTCCGCTGACCGATTCAATTCTTCCGCGTCTGAATAACGAAAGCTGTTTCTGATTCGCCGGAAAAAAATCATTTATGCATATGGCCCGCTCTTTGATCGACGATGAAAGAGTCTGCGCTCTCCAGCTGTCCGCTCTTTTTCCCATTTTTTTCTCCCTCTTTCGCAGGAGGAGGAAGAGGAGGAGGAGTAAATCCGAGCGTGGATCCGGACAGGAATGGGAGCGAGAGTGTGGTTAAAAAGTTACAACCACTTAGTTCCATTTAGGTAGCTGACTGTTGAGAAAATCGAAAAAGGAAGAAGGAATTTAAGGTCTGAAAGCGAAGTATATTTCTCGGTTCTACAGTTTTACGAATAGTAAGTACATCGACTCGATTATGGGGAATTAATACCAGCTAGTAGATACTATATACATTATAGAAATCTCAAGGAGACTAAAAAAAGAATGCAACCGATAGACCTGGTACTTGCTAAGGACTGAAACCTCGCAGTAATTTTCACAGGAAAATTATTCGTCTCGATAACACAGACAGACATCGATTAATTATAGTGGTCGAAATTTCTAATGGCTTACATGGACAAAATAACGAGGAGTATCGGTGACGTTCAAAATGGCCGTGAAAATGACGATATTCGGCCCAGCTACGCTTCGTCAAACGAAATTATACTTGATCAAGCGAGTAAATTCCATTTATCTGGCTCATTAGCAAAATTTGCAACATTTTTCACGGGACCGACTGACTAGAACCATCGTTTATCGACTATTTCGAAACCAGCCAGTCACTACAATTCGAGTCTAATCTCTTTCCGTTACGCCATCAATTGTACTTGCCTCCACTCGAGTTACACCCCATTTTTCACTCGAATTGCCACGAAATTTACCCAGAAAGGTTCAATCCGAATTTTGACGACAGTTCCAGGTGAGAAGCAAAGAATCTAACCTATCTGGATCCGCTCTGCCTAAAAGTTCCCCAAAAAACACAGGATCGCTCCGAATCCGTGGGTGCAGGGAACGGAAGGCGCGCGGAGAGATAGCCGAAATGCTTTATCTGGAATTCGCGAGCAAGCTCGGACTACTAATTCAAAACAATTTAACGCGACAAAGTGCCGCGGTATTATCAGGTGGACTGGGTGCTGAGCCTCGTCCAGTCGCCCAATCGCGACACCGGGCTCCATCCACCCTCTCTCACCTCTTTGAATCCCAGCGAGGAAGCTCGGCACCTCGTGGAAAGTGACTGCCATGGCGAACAGCAGTGTCTGGGAGCTGCCGATAAACAGCTTACTTTCAGCAGCTTCCTCGATAAAGCTGCTAGACAATAAATGCGCCTCTCGTACAATGCGGCTGCGCCGAACTTTACCGGGCCGGGTGGGCTCGAGAGGAAGGGGGGCTCGTGGAGGAATTAAAAGGGAGGTTCGATTCGCCGGATAAGACGACGACCACACGGAGGTCACACCGAACTACCTCCTATTCAACGCGGCCACGGTGACAGCTGTACGGCGCAGATTGCGCGGGTCAAGTGGACGTTCGGAATTGTACCCGAGTGTTGTCTATCGACTGGACCCCCAGCTTAATTTTATTTCCAAGTTCTACTCGCTCGAGTGCCGGCTCGAATGCCGGCTCGAGCGCCCAACGCGATCATGGACTTGTGCTAATTCGTGCGTTTGACACCGGTTACGTCAGGGGTCTTCTTTTCGGGGGCAGACGAGTGCCCTGGAGTTCGCTTCGACTCCAGTTTTGTCAACGATCGTGCATTTTTGACGGGTTCCTGATAGTTCCTTGCCTCTTTCTTTCCTTTTTTCGATGAGGTTCATGAGGGTCCTGAGAAGGGTTGCTTTGCAATCTTTTTTTCCTTTCAGGTCTATCTCTAGCAATGTATACCAGTGTGATGCTATGTTAAATTATTTCGGTTTTCATTTCGCTGTTAAGGCGACATGATATTATTTAATAAATTGTTGTTAATATTTCTAGTATGCAATATACTAGATCGAATTTGAACCGAATTGTGGTCATTATAAAATTGGATATATAACTGCGAAATAATATATACGAATACAGATGAAACCTACGATAATCAGGTGGAAATGCAATTGCCAGTTACAAAGGAAAGAATCGTTCTATAAAAGAGAAGTACGAGCATTCGATCAAGTAGATAAGGTCGGTCTGCTGTCAGACCAGGGTCGTGAAACTGCTCGACGACTTTACGATAATTCCTATGATTCAGAAATTGCGATAAAACGTATTGCGGGTTGGTTTCTATGTGTGAATTCTGAATGCAATAATTCTTTTAAACGACTTCGGAGCAATCTGCTTATTTGAACCACCAAACTATGAATTCTGAATGCAATAATTCTTTTAAACGACTTCGGAGCAATCTGCTTATTTGAACCACCAAACTCACTTTATATTCATCATACCTGCAGAAAAATTATTTATTATCGTCCTCAACTAATTTTCTAATTTCGAAGCTTCTTTTCATGGAAATATTTCGTGAAATATGTTTGAAGACAAAGTTAAGGGACAAAGATACAATTTAAGTACTCTCGTATATTCTTTATATTGATTAAAATTAAAAATTAAAAAATAATGTGCAATAAACAATAACTCTTTCCTTTAAATATCTTGCATAACCTATTTTTATTTTTATTGTACATATTTCAGATGATAAACGTACGAAAATTCGCCAATAATTGCTTTGTTTTCCATTTCTGTCAATTTGACTATTTCCCATATTAAAATCGAATTATTTCGATTTAATGTAGAAACTTTTCATTACAGACGTTACATGAGAGGTATTACGCGAGTACGAAGGAAACTGTCATAGACTGCGCTTTAATTTTCCTTGCTTCAGAAACACCAAACACAGATCGTATCGCGTAGCAGTGACAGCTGTACGCAACAGACTCCGAGAAACTCGAAATTCGTATAAGTAGGACCGAGTTTCACGGAACTTGCGCCAGTAGTAAAAGTGTGATACTTTTACTAACGAAATACGATCCTGTTCCCGTTCGTCAAATCGCGGTACGCGTTTTAACTTTACGGTTGCAAAAAATCGCCAATGAAATGACTTCGGACAATGCGTACCGAATTTCGTTGCTACGAAAAAATAGATATAAATGTAATTCCTTCGTTTCCCCTAACAAACGAATTTACCATAAAAGCTGTGTAACAAAATTGCTCAGGAATTCTATCAGCTTTGCGATAAAATATTTCATAGACTTTACACAAAGTGCCCCACATTTTTCCGTGTAAAATTTCGTCAGTGTGCGGTTCGGGTAGAAATAAATATAAAATGACGTGTAACAGGGAATCCATAAATGCTTTATCAGAAAGCTGTAACAAAAGTATGAAACGCGAAGAATACGAATATACATAATATTCGTGATATCCGTCATTTTTAATTCCTTTTACAAGAAATTAAATAAAACTACGAAGGAATAAAATTCTACTTATTACTCTCTGTGAATTACATTCTATATAAATGAAAAAATAATAAATCCAGAAATAGTAATTTTGACTAATTTAAGGAGACTCTTATTATACGGAGTTTTGACTTCGTTTTCACCTGTAAAATACACTGAATAAAATTTGCATAAAAATTGCGAGACACGAGTCTAATAATTTTCTATATTTCTATGGGTCAAAATTACCGGTTCAGAGTTAAAACGAGATTTAACAAGGGTCTCGGTCTTCGTGACTTCAATTTATTATGGTTTTTTTCCAACGGCGGATTTAGTTGGTAGCAATAAAGTACGTTTTCCAAACGAAGTTAGCGTTACAGTGAAAGCAACGGAGTCGTCGGGGTTCGTGAAACTAGAGACGGATATCCAATCGGGATATCGAAGGTCAAGGAGCTATCACGGCACAAATTGGGTTACCGAGGACGGGGCGTATCGAGAAAATCCTATTTCCAACTCGCTATTTTTCTCCGGCCGAACCGAGCTTCCACGTTTTTATACCGGATAACAGCGCGAGTCTTTCCTGTTATCCGACCCGATCTTTGAATCTCCTCAACTTCGGCCAGTTTGTAACTACCCTGAGCTTTCCGACTTTACTCTGAAATCGATGATCCCGAGCGAATCCCACAAACAAGCTACTCCTTATTTTATGTCTGCCTTTTAATTCCAGATAACATCGATTAAAGACCTCTATAGAATTTTTTCCGAGAAAACTGCAATTTGGTACCTTACCGTGGCTAACGTCATTTGAACGAAGAAATTCTTAAATTTTTATAAGGGATGATTACAATGTGCTTCCTCTTTTTAGGATAGAATTCAAAATTTTAAACGATACGATTTTTAATATATGCAAATATTACGGGTTCAAGTTGCAACACATGAATTTGATTTGTAAATTAAAATCGTAAAATTAAATTGTAAAAATTGCTAAAATAAATTCGTAATTATTTCATTCTTCTAAATAATGTTTGGTATTTAGTATTTACGTCATTTACCATATGATAAATGAAAATAATGTAGAATTTTGTAGAAGAGAGTGTATTACATAATTTTAATAGATTTCACGTTGTTCGTTGCTCAATTACTATTCACCCATGCACCAATTTATTAATTGATACTTTTCTGTACTTTCTAACCCAGAAGACACTTCGCGTTGAAAAATGTGACGAGTAATAAAATTACTCTAAAATAATCAACGAAATTTGGAAATCGTTTGAGCGCTGTCTCTCGCAATTATTCGAAACGTTCGGCCCCATGGGTGCAAACGATCCTTCGTCGTCAGAAATCTGACGTGTGACGGACGCGAAAGAATCTCTAAAATGTCAGAGGCCAAAGCTGATCCCGGCTTTCGTTTATGTGATTTCACCGGAAGAAACCTACCTGCCAGACGGCCGTAACGCTGAAACATTCGCTCCACATCGGTCTTGCTGCACTGAAACGTGTTTAGATTCCCGACGAAAACCCGGGAATTCACCGCCTGTGGGTCCTGCGAATTGGTCTGGTTGCCCACTTTGCTCATCTTCATCGCCTGGAACAGAAGAATGTAACCGGATACCGGTTTATCGTCGAACGTGATTTGAGTGACGATGCAACGAAAAGTGATACAGTCGTTTTATTGGCCTTCCCCTTAATGGAACGTACCGAAGGCCGGTTCTCGTGTCACATGGCCACGTGGACGATTTTATGACATTTGTTCTCGGATTTAGACCATCTTCGCGAGACTTTTTATCGGTCCGCGCGTGGTCCTTTAGTCTTTCCGATTTCGGATACGGTGATACGGTGATACACGAATTGCTGGATAAATCGATTCCAAGCGTGGAAAAATGAAGGATAGCGAGGAAAAATAGTACAAGGAATACGAAGAAATTTTCGTTTTGGTATACGTAACTCCGTTAGTTATGACGGTCGTCATCGTGGTTACAAAGACAGAGAAATATTTGAGCTTTCCGTACATTGATTCGATTGATTCTATATTCGGAATAGATTTTAATTTTAATTTCAAGACTTTTAATTTCAAGATTACCATTGTCGGTTGCGGCAAGTATCCTCACCGTGATGGTGGTGCTAGAAGGGACGAAATGAAAAGCAAGGGATGCGTTTCGTTCTAGGCCTGCTAGTGGAATCATCACTAAGGATACCTAGTCTAAGGCGGGGATACTATTGCAATGTTGGAAAATTCTATATATAGGAAACAGAGGGGTTTTACTGAGTAGTTATGACTAATCTCAAGGGGTGGAGGAATTTTTTGATATTCGAAGATTCATCTGCTACTCGAAATTTATCGTATTATGATAAAAGAGTAATGCCAATAGGTTTATTTAATAATAAAAATCGGTAGTTATAACTAAGCTGAAGGGGTGGAGGAATTTTTTGGTATTCGAAGATTCACTTGTTATTCAGAATTTATCGTATTATAATAAAACAATAATGGTAATAGACGTAATTAATAATAAAAATCGGTAGTTATAATTAATCTGAAGGGGTGGAAGAATTTTTTGAAGATTCTTTTGTTATTTAGAATTTATGGTATTATAATAAAACAGTTATGGTAATAGATTTATCTAATAATAAAAATCGGTAGTTATGACTAATTTGCAGGGGTGGAGGAATTTCTTAGTATTCGAAGATTCATTTGTTACTCCAAATTTCTTGTATTATAATAAAACAGTCATGGTAATAGATTTACCTAATAATAAAAATCAGCAATTATAACTAATCCGAAATTTATCGGATTACAATAAAACGGTAACAATAATAAATTTATTAACCCTTTGCACTCGACGATTTTTTCGTTACAGGAAAATAATAATTTGAAGACTTTCTGCCATAAGGTCGCCGATATTTTTAAAACGATAAATAAGAAATCGTATGCAATTTAAGATGTAGAATCATTTTACTTCGATATTGCACGCGTCGTTGGGTAATTCTAAATATGATGTATTAATTAATATCCATCTTTAGAATCTGATTAAATGGCGACTGAGAGACGCCTCTCGAGTGCAAAGGGTTAAATAATAAATATGCAGACACCGATTAGAAGAATTCCGATATTTCTCACCGAACGCGAAAAATCTGATCGTCGTAGCATGGTTATAAACTCCGTCTCTCGCACCGCCATGTACTTTATCCCGTCATTCGTAGGCACGATCTCCAATCACGGCAAAGTAAATGCCCATAATCAAACAGACAGGCCATTTGAATACCTGGCAACATTCGATCCAGACACGATCGAAATGAATATTAAACCAGCGGCATTTTTCCCAGTCGGAGTCGTAACACACAATTGGAGACAGCTTCGTCAAGGTTCGACGAGAAACCATCGTGTTTCCCGGCGTATAACAAGTTGCCCACGAGCTGCCGGTAACTTAATGAGATTCGCAGGCGTCCTTTAAATTGTCGAAAGACGCGCGACGCTCGTCGTATCGCGCGAGAAACCCGGCGAATTAATTAACGCGTTTGCGATTCCATTCTAAAAATCATGGCGTTCGACGTGCCGTGCTCGTCTCTCACCTACCACGGCATAATACGCCACAAAACTAATGAGATCGTTAGCCACGTCGTCGTTAAATACAACGCGACGCGCGGGCGTATCATCCCTCAGTCGCGCGACGCCGATTTCCATGGAATCGAGTTAATCTCGCGGATGATCACGTGTTAATTGGACAACGTGTGCCAATTCATAGCGCCGATATCACTGGGAAAAATATTTTTCAGCCGTCCTTTCATCGCATCAGAGCTCGATTACGGGCTGCTTCCATCGCTTAATGTTTTCGCTACCACGATTTTTGTCCGCCGCCATTCTCCATGAATATTATCCCTGCCTCTCTTTATCCCCATTTTTATTCCAGAATTATTCGAGGATCGATGCTGGTTTATAGATTACAATGTCGTTATTTTTTTCGTTCAAAATCGATTACGAATCGCGGAAGCGTTCGATACGCTATGGTTTCTCCCATAAACTGTGAGTTATCTTTTTCTGTAAAAGTTACTAGGATTCCTATATGTAGGACCGAATTTTGAATGGACTGACTTGAGATAGTATTATTGGCTTCTTAATAGAATAAAATAAGCTTATAAGTAGAATGATGACGGCTGGCTATGAAACAAAAGAGATTCGCTAACTGATCTTCCTTAACCCTTTGCACTCGATTTATTTCCAAAATTGTTGGATGTCAACTTGTATTTATTTTTAGCTAAATAAATTGAAGTAATTTACAGTGGTAGAATTCAATGCGTTATATTTATTTCATTTATTTTTATTATTATAAATTGATATGCGAGTTTTAGAGCAAATTAGTATTGTCACCTCTAGCGTGACATACAAAGGGTTAAACTGACTCTTATAAACTGACTTTAGACTTTGACACGCTGTCTTTGTCTGTCTTAGACTTTGGAATTCTTCGACTGACTGATGGATTCTCTTAGACTGAGCTGTTAGACTGACTTGAACTGCTTACACACTCTGACAGGCACACTGACTCACCTGCGTTCTTGTATCCTTGTTTAAACCATTTATTCTATCCCTTTTTCACACTCAAGCTTTCTTTCCCAATCATGCCTCTTTCCCCATAGCCTGTGGACCAGGTGGACCAGGTACTTCAAACACATGCTGCAGTCATAAACTAACTTCCATTCGTCTGGTGGTCATCTTTGTTCTAAGTTCAAACACTCCTGACACTTCTTCAAGGCCATACTCATTCCAATCCGACATAAATGAACGACAATAATCGTCGCGTGCTTTTTATAATGCATTTCATTCGTAAGGGATGTTTACGCGTCCAAACAGTATAAACTCTGAACAAAAGTCATTAGCAGAATACTCGATTGTACACGAAGAGAGAGAGAGAATATTTATTTAGAAATCGCCAAGTCTTTTGATCATTGCTACACGGTGAGTAGCGATCGACCAATATCGCGTTTCACAATTAGAAACATTCGGCTGGGAACAAATTTCGCTGAAAAGCCACGCGCTCGATGGCATTACCATTCAGCAAATGGCACGGTTGAATTATGAATTACATTAAACAAAAAGGTAATGCACTAGAACGTATAAAACGGTGGTTGAATAAACGCGTGTCGTGGGTCCTGACCGGCATCGAAATATCGAGAGATCGCGTTGCTGAGATTCATAAAATCGAAACGTCGCTTGTGCAAATCGTTAGTGGATTCGCGTGAAAAGTCCACGAGCGTAATTTGCCGGGTCTCGTCGATTTTCCTCGCGATGAAAAGACGGGAAAAATCGACGTACTCGCGCGGTTCTGTTTCAAAAATTGCCAGCGATACGGCAATTCCTTGCCGATAAACACCGATCGCGACGTCGCTGGCTAATTTCGACGTTTGCTTCAATATTTGCCCCGACCTCATATAAGTGTCCATATTTATCGTTCACGGTACTTTAATACGCCGTGGCCCGGCATTTTCCACGATTCGGTATCGATGACCACTTGATAATCTGTGGCGAACAAATACTTGCGAACTTCGCCATTCGAACCTTCCATATTCGAGATTTCCTCTTTGTATCCTGCGCAATTCCTTTGTTTCTCTTTTTCAGGAAAACATGGGGAAATATTATTGTACAATTCTCATGGGATAGTCCATGGGACATCTATTTTATTTTTTCTATTTTCTTCTCTGTCCTAATTTTACAAAATTTTTTTTATAATATTTCTTGGATCTGGTTACTCTTGAAAAAGGTATTAATAACGTAAAATTTGTCCAATTTTTCATACAATGATTCTGTTCGAAAGGAATATTTACATTTGGTTTAGTAACAAAAGATTGCGCGTATTTTAATAAAATTAAGCAGGTTTCGTTGGCGTAATTATTCCCGTAGTAATTTCACCAAAATTAGCATAAATTTAAAATCGCATCGTATCTCAGACACATCGGGATTCAATAAGGGATATTTGTAATCGAGAATTACAAATTCTATTCCGGCGAAATTGCTGTATTAAACTAAAATTACTTTGCCGTAAAAATTATCCGGATATGCAGATTAGAGTCGCGCGAGGAAATGAAAATACCGAATTACGATACGAGGTTTATGACAGTTTTTTGCAGAGTATATTAATGAACAATAACAACATCGGAATATATCGCGTAGTATATCCTGTAATGATATATATTATCGCGGCACATGCAACCACCCCTTAATATTGGCTTGATTGATGTCAGAGTAATTACTAGCGAACACGTTCAGTCAAGGGAAATTGGAGGTGCGTCTAATTAGTCCCGTACCGTGACCCTTCTCTAATTAGCATAAATAATAAGAATTTTCGTGGTCATTCCAAGGCTGAAGTTAGCCAGATCGCGATTTCGAATAGTATCCAGTAATTATATTTAATAGCTGATGTACCAAACAATTGAAGATTATAAATTTATTAATTTCTTTATTAATTATTGAATCCGTCAATTTGACGGAAGAGTTGCACCAATTATACGATAGTAACAGATTTAGTTGACTTATATTAAGCCTTTGCACTCGCCGATCTTTTCGTTACAGAAACATAGTAATTCGAAAACTTCTTG